CATGTTCACTTTCTTACTGTTATAACATTTAACAAACAAAGCACATTTTATTTGCTTATACTTTACTCAGTGTGATATAATATAAATACAAAATAAGAAAAATTTTAACCAGTATCTTGTGCCATGGAGAGATTTACAAAGATTCATAATGTTATTCCAAATTCAGAATGACACACTGAAATGGTATTATGTCACAGTGCTCCGTAAACTGAATCCAAGTTCTGCCTGAAAATAAAATGTAAAAAATTGCCTTTTATTATTCTCCACCCATATAAACTTGACCATCCTTTTTATCCACTTAGATCCTTCCTGTACAGAGAAATGGAAGATAGGGGAAAACAGCAATGAGAAAGCAAGTGAAAAAATAGGGACTAAAGGATAATGAAATATGTGCTTCAGAAAAATTCAAGCACTTTATTTTAAGTGAGTTAGAAAAAGAAAACTCTCTGAAAGCAAATGATATCATGCTCTAATGTTAACCAGCCAATGTATATAACTGAGGTTTAAAAAACAACTACATTTTCAAATGTAGAATAGATATTTTTGAACTTTCTAAATGTATTTAATATATTTAACGATATAATCCTTATGTAAATATGGGTTTACATCAAATTCATTGCAATGGCATGTTTAGATATTGCAGGGAAAGGTTTCAAGAAGCCCTAACTGATGTGGCCTAGTAGGTTGGGTATCGTCCTGCAAATTGAAAGGCTGCTGGTTCAATTCCCAGTCCAGGAACATGCCTGAGCTGTGGGTTCACAGCTCACATCAATATTTCTTTCCCTGTCTTTCTCCTTCCTTTCCCCTCTTTCTAAAAATAAATAAATACAATCTTTTAAAAATTACAAAAAAAATCTAGTCCTGTAGGACACATAATGATCTGTTCAAAATCAAGTCCTCTCAGAGCTTACTGAATATGTGCATATATTGTTTTATCATCTAGTCTTTATTTGGATAAAAAACTCTATTTAAATAACTACAAACTAACAGGTTCATGAAAGGATGTTCAACGTCATTAATTATCAGAAAAATGCAAATTAAAGTCACAATAAGATACTACCTCATATCTGTACAAAAGGCTCTTACAAGAAAGACGAAATGACAAGTGTGGGAAGGTTGTGTTGCAAAGGGAACTCTGGGGCATGGTTGGTGGGAATGTAAATTGGTCAGGCCACTACGGAAAACACAGTGGAGTTTCCTCAAAAAATAAAATAAAAATCGAACCATTATATGATCCAGCAATTCCACTTCTGGGTATTTATACTAAAAAAATAAAAACATTAACTTAAAAAGATATATGCACACATATCTTCATTGCAGTATTATTTAAAGTAGCCAACATGTGGAAACAAGTGTCTATTGCCAAATAAATGGTTAAAAAAGGTGATATATAAATAAATAAAAATATGTATACACTAACTTACACACACATATAGATAGATAGATAGATAGATAGATAGGGAAATATCTAAACATTCTAATACTATTCAGGTATTAAATGATCGAATCTTTCTATTTGGGACAATATGAATGGAACTTCATGGTATTATGCTTGGTGAAATAAGAGAAAGACAAATATAACATGATATTACTTAATGTGGAAGCATAAACAAAAAATTAAGTTTATATTTAAAAGTTGCTAAGAAAGAGGGGCTTTAACCAGATTATCATAGTGATCATCTCATAATACATTCAAATAACAAATCACTATGTTGCATACCTAGAACTAAAATAGTGTTGTAACTTTTTTTATACATTTTTTAATTTACTGTGTTTTTCTGTTACCATTGAGCTCTCTTATGATCCCTCCACCCTCAATTGCCACATTGTTGTCCATGCCCAGGAGTCCTTTTATTTGCCAGATTCTTCTATCCCCTACTCTCCACCCTGAGCTGCCATCCTGCCCTCTACCTATGAGTCTCTCCCCATTTTCTCTGGTAGCTCAGTTTGTTCATAAGCTTACACATGTGAGTGAAATCATATGGTATTTGTTTTCCTCTAAATGGCTTGTTTCACTTTACATAATGTTTTCCAGGGCCAGCTATACTATCACAAAGGACAAAATTTTCTTTCTTCTTATAGCTAAGTAGTATTCTATTGTGTAAATGTCCCATAGTTGTTTATCCACTCAGCTACTGATGGACACGTGGGCTGCTTTCATATCTTGGCTACTGTAAATAAGGCTGCAATGAACATAAGCATGCTTATGTTCTTTCAAATTAGTGTTTTGGGTTTCTTTATATGTATTCCCAGAAGTGGGATCCCTGGGTCAAAAGTCAGATCCATTTTTCATTTTTTTGAGGTGTCTCCATACTGATTTCCACAGCGGTTAAAGTCTGCATTCCCGCCACCAATGGAAAAGGGAAAGGGTTTCTCTTTTTCCACACCCTCACCAGCACTTGTTAATTTTCCCACCTCACTCACCTCACAATATGTTAATTGATTGATGATAGCCATTCTGATTGGTGTGAGGTGAATATAAAACTGCACAGTAAGTCCCTAGTAATCAAAACAACATGGTACTGGCATAAAAACAGACACATAGATCAATGAAACAGAATAGAGAGTCCAGAAATAAAATCAGATCTTTATAGCTAATTGATATACAAGAAAGGAAGCAAGCATGTATGATGGGCTAAAGATAGTCTATCCAATAAATTATGGTGAGAAAATTGAATAGATACATAAAAATGAAATTATACCATCTTCTTATACCACATATGATAATAAACTCAAAATGGATTGATGACTTAAATATTAGACTCAAAACCATAAAAATCTTAGAAGAAAACATAGGCAGTAAATACTCAGACATTGCTTATAGAAATATTTTATCTTATATATCTTCCCAGGCAATGGAAACAAAAGAAAAGTAAATAAAAGGGACTACATCAAACTAAAATGGTTTTGCACAGCAAAGAAAACCATCAACAAAATAAAAAGACAACCCACTGAATAGGAGAACACATTAGCCAATACATCTGATAAGGGGTTAATATCCAACATTTATAAAGAATTCATAAAACTCAACACCAAAACCAAACAAACAACCCAAATAAAAATGGGCAAATGACCTGAATAGACACTTCTCCAAAGAGAACATACAGATAGATGGCCAATAGACATGCAAAGATGCTCAATCAGCAGGGAAATGCAAATTAAAACTATAATATTGTGTCCCGATTATACATCAATGAACAAAGTACACTTGTGTAAATTAACTTTGAGTTTTTAATAAACTTTTTCATTGGATATTTTGTTATTTTATTTTAATGAAATTACACTGCTACGTTTAAGCAAGGCATATATCTACCTGTGTACAGCACACATGTACTCAATATAAAATATTCAGCAGATACGGAGGTAGGTAGGTAAGTAAGTAGATAGATAATAAGCAATTAAAATGTGTCATAAAGAAGTATTATTGAGTTATTTTTAGAGATTTAATATATAAAGTCTGTAGATGGCAATTCTTTTTCCCTAACAGAATGGGCTAACAGATAGAACATGTTTCCGGTGGTTTCTTACTTAGACACTAAAACACTTTACAACACCAAACACAACTAATCAAATGCTTGGTGTAATTTCCTGGATGATCAGAATAGTTATAAAAATCTGTTTTGCCTGTTCCTTTAAAATTTAGAGAGAATCTCACAATTTCTCACCACTGTCATTACTACGAAGATCATAACCCATATCTCCATCACTGGTTTTCTGAGCTATTTCTATAGTTTTTTAACTAGTCAATTTCTAGCCTTACTTCTTAGTCATTATTCTGCTCAGAACAGCCAGAGTAGCCTGGCTTTACGGGAAAAGGTGAGCTATGTCTCTACGCAGGATGGGCTTCCCATATTATGATCTATTTCAAGCCCTTGGCCGGGACTGCAAGGGTCTACATGATGGGCCCTTCCTCTGTATCTCTGACCTCATCCTCCACTAGGGACACCTTCCTTCACTACGTATCTGGTGTCCTTGCAGAGTATGCTCTCACCTCAGAGATTTTGCAATCTCTGCTCAGTCTTTCTGGAACACACATAATTCAGACACCACATGGCTCACCTCTTGCTTGCGTCAGTCTCTGCTGCAATTTTACCCTCACAGAGAAGCCCTTTCTGACCACCTCACTGTGAGATACCCACCACCCGCCACTTTACTTGTATCCCTTCACTCTGTTGATGTTTGCCTAATTTGAACTTAACACTACTGACAGTGATTTTGAGTCTGTTTACCACCCTCAGTGCTTTCACTCCTCCAGCAGTAGAGCTTGCCCAAACCAGGATCCCTCCACTGGGATGTCAATGTTCACCAACATCGTGTGAGTTAGACATTCATATGCTCAGAAAAGTCATAAAAGAGGCAGGACCAAGCCTTGTGGGGTTAGAGTTTAATTCTATGTCTTATTTTAAAATTAACTTTTCACCTATGTCTCTAACAATAAAGAATTTAAAATCTTTAAATTCTGCTAAGAGATTTAATGATTTAATCAAAGCAATAAGCCTAATTGTTTCAACAAAAAATCAGACCATATGATCTCACCTTTAACAGGAAGCTAGCAAGAAAACAAACAAGCAACCAAAATAAAAACAAAGACACTGAAATAAAGAACAACGGGACAGTGACCGGAGGGGAGAGGGGAGGGAATTTCAGGGGAAAAGGGGAAGGATTTATCGGAACAAGTGTAAAGGACACATGGACAACAACTAAGGGGGGGTGGAAATGGGAGTGAGGTGGGGAGCACTGGGGAGGTGGGCTGGGATGGGAGTAAAAGACAGAAAACTGTATTTGAACAACAATTAAATTAAAAAATTAAAAAAAATTATACCTGTGTAATCACAGTAAAAGTGTCAGTGAGAGTGAAAACTTCATAGACAATTTAATCTTTTTTATTTGAAATATTGTTAATTAAAAGAAAATTAAAAGTATTGTTATGTTTAAGTTTAGTTTTTATTTTTTTAAAGTTATTATTGGGTGGTCCACTATGTGAAAACTTGTCTATGTACCTTTTTCAATCTGATGACTCCTTCTTGTGTATCCTCATCTGTGACAATATCAAACAAATTTCCCCCATCTCCTGGAACAATGTTGTATTCAATTTCTGCATTTTGTCCAAAATCAGGATCCACAGCTCTTATTCTTCCAATAGCTGAGCCAATAGGAGAAGATTCAGGAACTTTCAGATGGAAGATGCCTGATGGGACAGAAATAATTTGTGTTGACAGTGAGCTTAGTATCACTTATATATTATGGACTTATATACTTTACTAATATATAATAAGATTACTAGGTTGAAAAATATAGCTTATAAAAATTAAATAAAATTAAAAACATATTTGTGAAAAATTAAAAGGCAATATGCTGTCAAGATAAGGATTATGATTTTCTAGAATTTTAATTTTAATTTCTAGAATTGGGCACCGTAAATAGTACAGTGTTTTAAATTAAAGTTACTGTGAGGAAATATTTTACATATTAACAACATCAAAGTGTACCTAATATCAATATAAAGGTAAGAATATCTATGAAATAGATCAATACTGATACAGAATGCAGTATAAAAACACAAATAAAAATTCATAAATAGATGGTACATAGATGATAAAAGATAGATATCTAAATATTGATAGAAAGTTAAGGTTATGTTCCCTAAAATAAATAAATGATATATAAAGTAATATAAATATAAAAATAAACTGACTATTTATTCAATTAGAATAAATCATTAAACTAGAAATGTTTGTGAAATGATTATATTTACAGGTAACCAAAATTTTAATTTATGATGAAATTAAATCCAGTAGATTATAGATTAATATTCAATGTGTGTTTCATAAATCTGTACCAGATATTCTGCTAGTAACTTTTAAGAACTTTTAAAATTAGAATATAAAGCTCTAGCTTCCATATTTTAACATAAAAATAAGAATAATAAAATGCTTATTTTTTACCACCAGATGGAGCACTTACATTACTGTGACTTTCATACTGAATCAGAAGAACCCAGAAAAATCCTTGTCTATATAAAATTTAGCAGAATCATAAAAAAGTTATAATATCCCACAAATATTAAAATATGTACATTGTTTAAAATAATTTTCAAAATGTTGTAAGGTTTATATACACCTTACAAGTTATGGTAAGGAAAATATATAGTATAAGCTATTTTACTGACATGTCATCAAAGAAGATATTAATGAATTAAATAGCAACCTGTTCAAATCAAAAGAAGAAAAGCAAGAAAATGGGATGACATAAAAATGCAAAAGCAAAACTAAATACAAAAATACACAGTTTACATTTTGATACTGACTTTTCAGTTTAGATGTCTATTAATAGATTTTGGATTACGCTTCCCATGAGTAAAAGCAACCAAGATAATTAATTTGTTTTGGACTTTTAGTTACATGAATAAAAATTAAATTGGGAAGTCTTTAATGGGTTTTTGAGTAAAGTTCATTTAACAAACTACACATGGCAATATAACGTATATTGGCTTCAAGAAGCATGAGAAAAAACATCAATCAACATTTTATGGAGATTCTGCCAAATAGATTTCTTTCTTTCCAATTATTTTTAGAGGGCTTATGTTTTTTTTTTTTAATCAGTCCCAACATTAATTTCATGAAACCCGATAGCCATTAAATTTTGCCATGCACAAAAGGTATCCACCATTTGGTCTTAAAAATGTTAAAATTAGCCTTATTTACATCCAACAGACATTACCTCAATAAGACATGCAATATATTAATTTCAAAAGAGCTAAATATTTACCTAAAACTTGTTTGATTCCATGTAAATGATAGAAAGTACATTTTACAGTGGTATAAAATACTTGTTTAATTAATTGATTTAATAGTTAATTAATGGTATACCTGCCTTTGGAAGAGATATGAAGAAAAAATTTAAGAAACAAACAAATAAATGGAAATAGATAAAAAGTACTCCAGGAGGCAATAATAAAATGTCGTTATAGATACTATAAAATAATTTGGTTTCAGAAGTCATATTAACCAAACTATCAGCTTCCCATAGGCTAGAATTATATTTCATGAGGTTTTATTCCCTCAACACTTCATACTGTGATGTCATATATAGATATGCTCAATGTTTGAAGACCAAAGCAGGATCTGATCTTGAGCAACCAGAGCAAAGAGAAAGAATGAAATCATAGGTGATATTTCACATTGTCAAGAAGAAGACTAAAGTAGAAGACTAATTTGTCTGAGTGAAATGGTCATGATTACAGAAGTAGGACCCAATGTGACTTTCACAATCAGCTTTCCACAGAGCCTCATTGTTTCCCTGTCGATGTAGCAAGTCCTTATCTTACTGAAGCACTCCTGGTTTATTAGCAAATATGAAAATGTCTGAATTCCTGTTTCAAGAACATGTGTGACAGTTATTAAAAGTTATACTAAACTTCTCAGGGACAAATTTAAAAAAAAGACAAGGCATAGATATCTGAGCTGTTTTTATTTTCCTTCTTTCTTTCTTCATGTATAGTACATAGAAGTATGATTTATCAGAAATTTTTTCACATCCTTTGCCTCTTAGTTTGTGATGATCATGAGGAACCTGAAAAAACACTAATAACCTTGAATGTATAGTAGATTGATCATGGTTCAATCTCAAGGTACATTAATAATTGTTAGGGAAAGTCTTGAATTTTTCCTAATAAAATTAAGCAGTGGAGGTCTGTGTTGGAAAATGTACTGTGAATTGTCTTCTAACAGTATGTAGTTAGGAAGCTATGACAAAATAATTATCAAAGACATAGCTGGCAGGTAGAGACTTGAGAGGGAGCAAGGGAGCTGTCAAGTCCCATGGATCGCAGATTTCACACATGGCCAGCAGTGCAGGGTGATGATGGTGGTGCCCCCGGGGGGAGGGGTGCAGGTGTTGAAAGCAATCTTTAGTAAAATATGGGCATCTAACTTTAAAAAATTGGATATTTCTGCTTATTCTAGGTGAGCTAGGGATCAGCTTCAAGTTACATATTAGGTTTATGACTTAGCTTTCCATTTGAATATTTTAAATCAAACATAAAAGAATCCAGACTCAAGGGAAATAATGATGGTAACATCATTGAGGAATTATGATTAGTGAAGGTGAAGAGTCCCGCCAAAACTGAGACCCTCCAATGTCAGGAGAATTTTGAAAACTCCAAAAGTAACCAGAACATTAGATAGTACACACTATACACAAAGGCTTCCCCCACCCTTTCCAAGACAAGGTGCTGAAATATGAGTATTATATGCTACAAAAGCACATTTTATAAGGCCAATAGCAAGGAATGTGAAGATACCTACTCCTTAAACTCTACCAATATACACTGAATAGCAGTTTTTAACAGAGCTAAAAAGTTGTGAACCTAAAATATGCCTAAAAATCATAATTATCTAACGGCACTAAAACTTACGATAAATTGAAATAGCATTGTGCAAAAATATTGACTCAATAGTATTCCAATAACCTGCTCTACCAAAATCAAGCTATAATAGAAGTAAAACAGTGACACACTGCTGACATCTGTTTTATGCATTGAGGTTTTCGTGTACATGAGGCACAAATATAGAGAATGCTGAGTTTTCTGTTCTTTACCCAGCAGAAATACACTTTAGTAAGGTGGAAGACACATTTATTAAGATAAGAATTTTTCAATAAAATATTGTAGTTGGTAATAAAGTCTACAGAATATAGAACAAGTCAGAGAAACTCTGCATTAGTCATGTCAGATTATTTAAGTTCTGCCATTTTATTTCCAATGAGTTGACATTTTATCATTTCTAGAAACTCAACAGCAATAAAGTCGGGGTCATTCAGATTAATTCAAAACTGAAGTAATCTTCAGCTCTGCCCAAGTTAGATCACTTATGATGTACAGCGTAATTACACTGCCAACATCTTCTAGGTGCCCTACTTTTGACGCATATGAAACATCTTAATGGCACTACCTGTACAACACAGATTAGGAAATAAAACAGGTGACAAGAAATTGTTCTTGGAGTCAATCAAAATACACACTTACTTATTCATTGAATATGCATGTTATGCTGAACAGAAATCACCAGGTTCTCATGGAAAAGGAGAAAATTGCACGTAGTAAAGTGGAATTTTAGTATGCAAATTCTATAACTTCTTACAAATTATGGTCCTTGTTAATGCAAAGTAAAGGTACCTGTTACTCAGCTATAGACTGAGTAAACATCCTCTCAGTAACTATGCTGTTTAAAAAAATTACCCTTGATTGTGACTCATTGGGTGTCTGTCAAGGGCATTTATTGATACCCAAGGGCAAAAGATACACAATATATATCCTTTCGTTTTTCTTTGAAAAAATTCTCAAATGTTGATAACAACACAAAAAGAGATATATTTACTCAACACAATATAAATTAATGTTATATTATTAATTTCTTAGGAAGCTATAGATTTAAATATATAATTTTAAAGATTATAGAATATAAAATATATTAAGTGAATAAATAAATTATACAATACTGTAGGAACATTCAGTGACAAGAATAGCAAATAAAAATAGTCTATTACAAATTTTCATATGACATACATTTTATTTTATGTTTATATAGTAATAACTAAAATTAGTCAAAATAGTATATGAAAAGTCAATGTTCAACTGCACCTAAAATTTATCTATTAAGACAAGAAACTAATTCAGAGGTAAATTAATATTTAAAAATATCATTGCGGAAGAAAAGGGGCCGCATGTGAAACCCGACAAGCTCGGGGGAGGCCTGCGTGGCAGCCTTGCAGACGCAAAGACTTAAAGAACCACATAGAATGGTCTAAAATGAAAATTTCCTAAATAAAAGCAGACCATGGCCAGTAGTCATGCCCTAGATGGGTGTTATTCCCTCATAAAGGTTCGTCTTTACCTCAACTGAGCCTCTCTGTTGCCTGTTTGCATCTGTAATAGCACACCTTTGAAAGGTCAAGTTTCCTTCGTCTGAACTCCTCAAAGCACAGACACTGCACCAGAGGAAGACCACACATACTCTCACTGCATTATTATTGTGTTAATTGTTGACTAGTACCTATCCCATGGCTACCTGTGGAAATGTGTGTCATTTTACTTTTTATTCATTCTTAGAGGTTTCCTTACTATGCTTTCTCTCACCTCCCTTACCCATCTATCATCAGTAGATTTCTTATAACCCTGTTATGCCTCCT